TTGTTGAATTTTAGGGCCTACGTGTTGTTAAGATGCAAGCTGTTGACGAAGATATTGATCTGAAGCAAATGCGAGACATGGCTGCTGCTAAAAAGCGTTGGGATGGTTTGGTATACTAATTTATTTACAGCCAATTTCTTCAGCTATATCTCCAATTGGAACATCAAATTTAGTGTTTGCACAGTTAAGGGAAGGAAAAGTGAAGCTTCTTACACCAAGAGAAGCAGGCTATGCTATTCAGCTCTCAAACAAACCTTTACTCGATGTCCGCCCCTCCAGCGAGCGGGACAAGGTAGATTCTTGTTTTGGAATATTGACTCATGCCATCATCATCTTAGCTAGTTAGTTTGGGCTCATTGGACACTGTTTAATGCCTCTTGTTCAGCTTTGACTGAGGTTATACTTCTATTTTGTTCTCTTAAAGGCATGGGTTAAAGGCTCCACCTGGGTTCCTGTCTTTGACAATGATGATAACCTTGATGCTGGAACTCTTTCCAAAAAAGTCACCAGTTTTGCTATGGGTAATTTTTCTCCATTTTGAGACCTCTAGTTATTTTGGATCAACTGTTTATTATCCTGTTAACTATATTTTGCAATGTATATCATCTTCTAATCCCATCTAGGATACAGTCTAGAACTCGAATACACTCCTTTTATTAGATTGTTTTCTGTACTAAAACGTTTTGAGTTTTGATTTCACCATGCTTTCACTTCTACAGGGGGATGGTGGAGTGGTGCACCTACATTATCTTTTAATAAGTACGTCTCGGAGAGTAAGCCAAGCCTCTTGTATGCGTTTTTTGACATACTTATTTACTTCTTGGTTTTCTACATTGTTTGTAGGTTCTTTTTGTCAAAGGTTGAAGAGAAATTCCCAAAAGAAGCAGACCTGATTGTTGCTTGCCAAAAAGGATTGAGGTATTTATACAAGCAATCGCCTAGAATCTCAGTGCTCCTTACCAAGTAGAACAATGTAACTAACCATGGTGTAGATATGTAGTTACTTTAGTAACCATAAATAAGAGTCTGGTTTGGTTATTTAGTTTACATATTATACATTCAGAGACTTGCACGGTGGCTTATCTAGATTTTGGGTATCTAAGGGGGAGTGGAAGGAGCTCCATTTGATTGGAGAATGGTTTCAGTTCTTGTGAAAGATAAAATTAGTCTTATATTATAAGTAGACACACAGGGTTGATCTTACTGTTTGGATTAGCTTCATATTTTTACTTCACTCGACATTTTTCTTGTCAGATCTTTAGCTGCTTGCGAGCTACTGTATAATGCGGGGTATGAGAATCTTTTCTGGGTCCAAGGCGGTTTAGAGTCTGCTGGAGAAGAGGTTACACAATTGTTTACAAATTTCTGTGTCTTACTGTTGGCTTTTTCAGTTTGGTTTCAAAATTGAATAGTCTACTTGGATAAGTAATTCATTGATTGTGTAATACATGCTGAAGTAGGATCTAGTCACAGAAGGTGCTAAGCCCTTGAAGCTTGCTGGAATTGGGGGGTTTTCAGAGTTCCTCGGGTAATTCTGTCTTTTATCTCAGATTTTTCTCATTGCTTGCAAAGTAAAGGCCTCAAAGACAATGATGTGAAAATAGATAGGGCTCCCATTTTTTCTAAGTGACTGTAAAATGACATGTCATTTGAATTAATCATTTTCTCAAAATATTGGACGTCACTGGCAAATCACTAGCTTCTTCTCCCATGTTTCCTTGCAATGGAAACACCATTGCTTCGTGCAGTCAAACCAGAGTATAAGAGATACATATTTCTGTATTTGTCTTGTAACCTCTATACGAGTATGATAATAATCATGGTTGTGTTTTTCTTGTAAGGAATGAGGTTAACATCATATACCCTTTTGGCTTGCAGTTGGACAGACCAGCAAAGAGCTCAAGCTGCCAAAGAAGGTTGGGGGTACCGTTTAGTATATTCTGCTCGTCTGGTATGTTTTGTCTATCAAAAATGTTTGGTAGCTTTTTGTCAATCATATTCCTCTTGACTGCTGCTTTTATGTCATATTCTAGGTTGGAGTTGTTCTGGCTGCCGATGCTTTGCTCGTTGGTGCCCAGCAACTGGGTCATTATATTCAGGACTTAAGAGGCCATTAGGATCTCGCTATAACCAAGCTCCAAGTAGTTATACCTCTTCTGAAAAGAAAAGAAAAACTGTAAATTTTGCTGAAAAGTTGTAGTTTTGGAAGGTAGGGTAGTTGAAATAGTGAAAAAGAACATCTTTCATTTCAGAAAATCCAAAAACAGGCTTATCTATCACCTTTTGAAAAATAAGTCTATTTTTTACGGTTTAAAACGCTTAAAAATACTTTCTTTTAGATGACATTGGTTAGAGAAAATACCAAAACAGGTGAAGCAATAACAAAAAAAAAAATCTCCCCTATGGAAACCGATATAACTTCGCACAAAATCACCGGTTCTAGCCATTTAGGGCGGGCAATGTGATGATTAGAATCTGCCACTGTAGCGACACTACTCGCATTCTCTAAGGTGGCTTTGTTTGCTGCATACTGCACAGCTTTGATGTACCATGATTCAATGACTACAAGGAGTTGCCTGATGTCTTCGGGCAGTCTTATAAAGCGGATATTCATCAAGATAATATGCTGCTTCCAGTGCGTTTTCTTTGGCAATATGAGCCAGAGGACCTCCTATGCATCTTCCCTCAAAGTGTACATGGAAGCAAATCCAACTGCAACATGACCTGATAGTTTGCAATCGTCTACTAAGGTTTCCCAAGGAGTTCCACGTTTCACCTTCATCACCTGGTTGGTGTTTCGTGTCTCTCAACCAGAACTTGTATGCCTTATGTGGAGGCCTTTACTTTACAGCCCAAGTATGGTCAGACATCAGTGCGGAGGTAGGCACCCAAACTTCAGCCAACTTGACTTGTACAATTGGTTAGCAGTCACTGGTATTTCATTATTCCTCCTCACAATGACCAACACGCATTGTCTCACTCAGTTATGCTGACTACCTGCTAAATAGAGCAGGAGGTCTCGGTAACTACACCGCCAGATTCTACATTGTTACAAAAACTGCTTGTCTTTTGTTTTTACAGTTTCATATAGATAAGTAAGAATTGAAGCGACAATTTATTTAGCCAACGCAACTAAGAGACTACAGAATGAATGATAGATCATAATAAAAAAGGAATTCAAATTACTTTAGAAGAAGTTTCACTGTCGCATTCAGGGTTCAGACAAAAAATCGTCAAAGAGTGAAAATCTCGTCCAAGCAAAATACAAGAAGAGAGGGACAT